GGCTCAGAAGGGTATGACCGAGCTAACTACTATCACTCTGACCGTGGTGACCGAGCTAACTACAAGGCTCTTTTGGATCGGGCTAACTTACAAGGCCCTTCTTACAGTGACCCATAGAACGGCCCATTACCTAGCTCGGCCCAATTTACTTATAAATTACCCTCTCAATTGCCTCTTAATTCCATCTGCGCAGCATGATTGGGATTACTTGTTTCGAGCCGAGCTAAAAACTTTAGCCTTTCAACCGAGCTAAATTTACACCGGGCTACCAATCTGTCCGGTCAAAACGTTTCTTCAGTCGCTGCAACTGAATCGCTTTCTATTTCATGGACACGTGGCAGACTCTCATTGGCCCAACGTAGCTGTCGTGCCGTCTTCGTACTCTGAAAAATTTGAACAGTCCCGCCCAAAACCAAGGTTTATACAAAAACCCTATTTCTTGAATCAATGGCTCTTACTATTCATCATCGTCTCTCTCTCTCTCTGAGCCTCCACTTTCTCCAAACCCAGTGCCTGCAGAACTCGTGTTTTTGCTGCTATTGCTTCCATCTTCAGTTCCTTCACCTTGAACTGGTATGTTTGCTCAAATCTGTTTCATTTTTGTTGATTTTGCACCTATTTTGCAATACATAGCATGCTTGTTCGTTTGTTTTCCATGTGCATACCATTTTTGCTTTCATTTTTCTTGAAAAAAAAACCCATGCTAAGTTTTTTCAAAGTGAGCTAAATCACTTGATTAGATTATAAATATACTTAAAGATGTAGAAATATCATATATGCTAAGTTTTTTCAAAGTGATTAAGATCCTATAAACAACGATGATGATGATGATGATGATGATATTAAAATGATTATTATTATTATTATTTCAACTATTAAATTAAAAAGTTTTTTTTTTTTTTTTTTTTTCAATCATGTACAATAATATTCCAAATGTGTTGTACATGTGTTGGCATTTTCCTTTGATTACCCAAATATCTTAATGTCAATGTCACCCTAGATATTGAATCTCTATGGCCAGATCACAATGGTGTCATTAATAATGGTGGGATTACAATTAATGTAACAACTTCAAAAATAAACGTAATGAAGAAAAAAAAAAATAATAATAATAATAATAAGAAACCCCCTAATACAAAAGAAATAATTAATATTTACTTTTTATAAAAATTAACCCTAACTTCAGAGTTCAAAGTATATAATAATGTTCAATTGAGCTAAATCACTTGATTAGATTATAAATATACTTAAAGATGTAGAAATATCATATATGCTAAGTTTTTTCAAAGTGATTAAGATCCTATAAACAATGATGCTGATGATATTAAAATGATTATTATTATTTCAACTATTGAATTAAAAAGATTTTTTTTTTTCTCTCCTTCCAATCATGTACATTAATATTCCAAATGTGTTGTACATGTGTTGGCATTTTCCTTTGATTACCCAAATATCTTAATGTCAATGTCACCCTAGATATTGAATCTCTATGGCCAGATCACAATGGTGTCATTAATAATGGTGGGATTACAATTAATGTAACAACTTCAAAAATAAAAAAATAAAAAAATTGACTTGTGATTTGAGAAAAGTTTTACAAAAAAATGGAAGGTCGGTTGAGAAGTGCTTAATTTGCAGTTCCCATAATTTTTATTATTTTTTTTATTTTTTAAATTCTAATAATCACTAGGCTAACATCATGCATAAGCAACATGTATGAATTTAGGTATATATATGCCTCATGTATCAACTAATGGTGGGATTACAATTAATGTAACAGCTTTTTTTTTAAAAAAAAAGTTGAGTTGTAATTTGAGAAAAGTTTTACAAAAAAATGGAATGTGAGTTGAGAAGTGCTTTATTTGTACTTTCCACAATTTTTTTTTTTAAAAAAATTATAATAATCACTAGGCTGTAGAACATCATGCATGAGCAACATGTATGAATTTAGGTATTGACAATGCTTAGTAACTCGAATTTTTATGATTCAAATGGCTCGAATGTCTTAAAAAGACATCATTTTGGAGATAAAACGACGACGTTTTAATACATTCGAGTTATTCGGGCTACATAAATTCGAGCTACCAAACATTTTTCTTTAGATATATATGTTTCATGTTTGTATGTATTACTATTCTTTTAGATGAGTGGGCACACAAGCAATCCCTTCTGTCCTTTACCCTCCAATTTTTATTTGAATTTATTTTGATTTATAACCATTTAATTGCAACAATGTCCTTAGACTACAATTTGAGTTAATCTCTGTTTGGAAGGATTTTCAAATCCTAATTATACCCACACATTGTAACATCATGTTTGGATAGAGTTTTCTAACTAGTTTTCCACAACAAACACAAAACTCTGCAAAAAACTCTGTGTAAAGCGTTGTACGAGCACGAAATAATCTTCTCGTATGATCCTGTTGATCAAGTTTGCACTCCTTTACACAACGTTGCTTTGCCACTTGAAAACACAAACGTGAGCTAACCGGCGGGTGTGTGCCGGAAACCCCTCCGATGCCTAAGTCAACAACTAGACAATAGACGATAAGCTCTGTGTATTCTAGAGTAAGAATTGGGATACCTGTACATAGGTCTGATCATGAGCTTTTATAGACTCTGCTTGGCGCATTCCTAGTAGGATTCCAACTCTCCCTATGAGAGTCCTCATTGGAATCACACACCCTACTCACTACCAACCAAGTGAGATGGTTTTGCACAATCCTAATAGGACTCTACTCTCCTTAGCAAAGTCCTCCTAGGAGTCATACTCCTACTCACTATCAACCAAGTGAGATGGTTTGCACAATCCCAGTAGGACTCTAACTCTCCTTAGCAGAGTCCTACTAGGAGTCTCATCACTGCAAGCCAAGTAAGATGGCTGAACCCTTTTACCTCGGTAATACATTCCTGACCGAACTGCCTTATATCGGTCCTCTACCATTCGGACCATGTGATCGAAAGCCGATCTATCGAATGCCACCCTGTCGAGCTATACACAGCTCAACCCTCGCCATTGATGTTGCCTCCTTTACCTCGGCTGACATTGCGGTCAACCAGGTTATTTCGGCTCGGTGATACTTTAAGCACCACTATCAGTCTTGACTCTGAGATAACGTCCTGTAGAGCTATCCTTTAGCTCAGTTCTCCCCCCACTGATACCTCAGATTTGTCTGTTTAGACCGAGCTAACTACAGCAGTAAACACCTCGGCCCATAGTTCGGCCCAAATTCGTAATATAAGATGTCTTCTTCGCCTAAGACCGAGCTACACCAGCCCTTATCTCGGTCCATTGCGCGGCCCAGTTCCCAAAGAAGACTCTTCCTAGCTCAGCTCAATTTGTTTACAAATTACCCTCTCAATTGCCCCTTAATTCCATCTGCGTAGCATGATTGGGATTATTTTTCCTCCAGCCAAGCTAAGAACGCCCCCACTTTGCCGAGTTAAAAAGTTTGTTCGGTCTCACAACTCGTTCAGTCCCAACAAGTCTTGTCAGTTGCTCAATATGTCTTTCCACTAATCTGGCATGTCTGATACGACGTTATCCCAAGGACAGGTGGCGTGCCCCCATTAGCCCCGTTCTCCTATTACAGCCGTCATACCAAAAATTTGAATAGCCTTACTTTTTTGCCTTGAACGTATATATTATTCGAGTTTGTAATCGTACGGCGAGTCGTTCTTTCTGTGTCTCGCCGAGTAGACTAACTCGGTTTGTACTAACCCTGCCAACCTGCTTTAGCCGAGATAACCATCTCGGTCCAGGAAAAAATTTGTTGGTCAAACCTGCCAACCTGCTTTGGTCGAGGTAACCATCATCCCAACCAAAGAGTTTAAAAATTTGTTGATCAAACCTGCCAACCTGCTTTGGCCGAGATAACTATCATCCCGGTCAAAGAGTTCAAAAGTTTGTTAGTCAAACCTGCCAACCTGCTTTGACCGAGGTAACCATCATCCCAGCCAAAGAGTTCCAAAAATTTTGTTGGTCATACCTGCCAACCTGCTTTGGCCGAGGTAACCATCATCCCGGCCAAAGAGTTCAAAAATTTGTTGGTCATACCTGCCAACCTACTTTGGCCGAGGTAACCATCATCCCGGCCAAAGAGTTCAAAAAATTTTGTTGGTCATACCTGCTAACTTCTTGCAGCCTAGATCCTCATCTCGGCTTAGGAGAGCTAAATGTTGGTTATTCTTGCCAACCTTCTTCAGCGCAGATCCTTATCTCGGCTTGAAGAAGAGCTAAATGCTTGGTCATTCCTGCCAAACTTCTTGATTGCCCTCCAGTCGGCCCTCCAGCCGGGCAAAGACTTGTTGGTCAAACCTGCCAACTTCCTGCAACCTAGATCATTATCTCGGCTTAGGAGAAGTGTTGGTTTTTCCAGCCAACATCTTCAGCCCAGATCCTAATCCTAGCTGAAGAGAGCTTAAAGTTGGTTATTCCGGCCAACTCTAAGTGAAGTGTTTGGTTTTTCCAGCCAAACGTCCTGCAGCCTGGATCCTTATCCTCGGCTTAGGAGAAGTGTTGGTTTTTCCAGCCAACCTCTTTAGCCCAGATCCTAATCCTAGCTAAAGAGAGCTCAAAGTTGGTTATTTTGGCCAACTCTGAGCGAAGTGTTTGGTTTTTCCAGCCAAACGTCCTACAGCCTGGATCCTTATCCTCGGCTTAGGAGAAGTGTTGGTTTTTCCAGCCAACCTCTTCTGTTGCCCCCCAGTCGGGCAAAGACTTTTCAGAAAGAGTTGGTCAAACCTGCCAACCCACTTTGCCTCTAGTTGGGCAAAGATTTTTGCGCGGTCGGTCTTACTTGTCAACCGTGTTATTTTTTGCCGAAGGTGTTTTGTCCGACATCGCTGTTGTGTCAGACTCTGCCTTGGTGCACGCCCCATCTTCCTCTACCCTGATGTGTTAGTGCACTCTCTCCATCAAGGCTTCCATAGTAAGGGGTAGTGTCATTGTCATTGAATCCCTCAACTCAGTTCACGATATTCTGCTTTAGTCAATTTTACACCATCAAATAGATACTGCTCGTTTTCTATATCATCTCTGAGCTCCTTCAGTTTCTTCAAATATTCTTGCCTTGAAACTTTCCTCATAGCTCCAATGCCATCTTCCTCCAAAGCATTAGATCTCTAAATAGCTTATTCTTCCTCTCTGTGTGTTAATTTTGGCTCAGCTAGCTTCCTTGTTGCTGCTGCATCCCGCTCTTTGATCACGCAATTGTTCTTCCTCCGACTCAGAACCATTATCATCATCATGAGAAATCCGTCTTTTAACTCGTCTTTCTTCTTCACTGCTCTTCTTTTTCTTTAAATCTCCCTTCTCTGTCTTCGTCTTTTTCGACTTTCTCTGCTTCAAATCCTCCACATCTGTCTCTGACTCCTTTTTTCTTCCCTTTGCCTTTTATCTGGCTCTTTATAGACTCTATGTCAGTCGTCATTCTTCTTATTTCTTTGTCTTGTTTCCTTACGCGATCTTCGAGAACCTGAGGATCCATCTTCTGCCTCTGTCTATCAGGGCTTTGAGAGCCAACCTCTTCTGGCGCCATGGGTGGGATAGAAGGTAAACCTTCGCGCCTTTCACCCCCTTCCGGTATTTGCCCATCAATAGCAGATTGTGGCAAGTCTTCATTGTGCGCTATTGCTTTCAACTAGAGAGGAAAACTTGATCAAGAGGTTTTTTTCTTTGTGAAATTCCCACAGACGGCGCCAATTGTACGAGCAAGAAATATTCTTCTCGTATAATCCTATTGACCAAGTTTGCGCTCCTCCAAATGTCCTCGCTTTACTCCCTGAAAACACAAACGTGAGCTAGCCGGCGGGTGTGTGCCGGATACCTCTCTGATGCCTAAGTCAGCAAAATAGACAAATAGATAAAAAGCTCTGTGTATTCGAGAATCAAAGTTGTGTTACCTCTCCATAGGTGATGTTATGAGCTTTTATAGGTTCCGCATGGCATAATCCTAGTAGGACTCTTATTCCTCCATGTAGAGTCCTCCTAAGAATCACACTCCTGAAAGATAATGGGGGTGTTTGGCAAGAAAAAAAATAGCCTAGTTTAGGCTAAAATTCACAAAAAGACAAAATAGGCTAAAATAGCTAATAAGACAAAATATCACATCAAACCCATAATCATTTCACTTTTTCTCTCACAAACATCACATCCAATCACAAAAAAATCCAATCATCTTCCCAAACACAAAAATTTTAGCCTACTAAAATAGTCAAAAACTAAAATAACCTACTAAAATAGCAACTTCCCAAACGAAGCCAATGCTTATCCTTCAACACCCCCCTCATTGCTTAAACCAAGTGAGATGGTTTTACCCCGGTTGGATGGCCGTACGATCGAGCTAACCGAGCTCAGATCTTCCCTTCAGTGCCTGTACCCTGGTTATGCATACTCCAACCGGGCTGTTAACTTAAGACCGAGCTAACCAAGCTTGGTGCTCCAATGCACAATGCCAAGCTAGCTTGGCTCTCGTTCAGTTGTACCTCGATAGTCTGTTGAAACCGAGCTAATCTATGGCCTGCTACGACCGTGCCAACCAAAGCGAGGTCCACCGTGTGAAGCCATTATACCTTGGCTTCAAACACTATGACCGAGCTAACTCCACTCCGATCGTGGTAACTGTTATTCCATTTGGACCGCGCTACTACAACAATTCACTTGCCAAGCTCTTTTCTACCGTGGCCCATCGAACGACCCATTACTCAGCTCGGCCCAATTTACTTATAAATTATCCTCTCAAGCGCGATTTTTGAATTTTTTTTTTTTGAAATTTAGCCTAACTGGTCGTCACACCGGATGTCCTACTGGACGTCCCACCAGTCGTCCAGCCGGTTGACCAGAACAGAGGAATTTTTTTTTTTTTTGACATATGTTAATTTTTATATATTCGAAAAAAATATATTCTGAATTTTTAAAAAAAATTTATGTACTTTAATAGAATTTTGAGTTGTATGTTTGGTTATGAGTTGTAAGTTTTTGTATCAAATATCATATGTCACATTAAAAATTCTCTACTCAATTCAAAACTCTTTCACTAAACAAATTTTTCATACTCAAATCATAATTTCAAAACTCACAAATTTAAAATACATTTCATACTCTCAAATTATATTTAGAAAGTTCTACCAAACGCAACCTAGTCTTTCCATCATCTCACTATTTCAAATTTGAATGAAATATGAAACATGAAGGTTAAAATATATTTAAGTGAAAGTTGGAGAGTGAAAAGTGTGACTTTTTTTTTTTTGGGTTTAATACCCTTAAAATATGCTCACTTGGCCATAAAATGAGCACTTTGTATCCATTTTTTTAACGGTGAGTAATAGAAAAACTACGTTGCAACAATATTTGAAATATGATAACTTAATTATTACAATTAGAAAATAAATTCAAATGAAAATTGAAAGTTGAAAAGTGTAATTTATGTTCTTTTTTTTCATTTTATATAAAGTTATGAGATAAAAAATAATTTAAATAAATTCAAAATCGTCCATTATTCTGAAGTTTAGAAAGCAACGCTTCCACTTATAAATTATTAACTATCAACATAAAATAAAGAGTTAATTACACTTTACCCTTCTACTATCAAGGAATATCACATTATCACCTTAATTTTTTAGATTCATTAACTATAAAAAAATTGCTTCATTTTCAAACCCTCTAGAAAGGGAGAGAGAGAGGGGGGGGTTGTATGGATTTTTTTTTAAAAAAAAATAATTAAAGGGTCAAAATATGCGATGTAAAAAATAAAAAATAAAATGATATTTAATAACAATTGAAAAAGATAAAGCATAATTAACCCTAAAATAAACTAGACCAAATAGGCCAATGTCTGACTATCCCACATTTTTACAGTTTCACTTCAGCTACGAACATGGAAATAATTGGCAAATGTGGTACTAAATTTGCAAATCCATTCAGATTCAAGTAACATGGGTTTGACAGAACACAACTTCTGATTCATCCCTTGCCTCCACACAAAGCAACCATGTTGTGGGTTTACAAGCAAAACAAAATTAAATTAAATTAAATGGAGCATATCAAAGGGGATTTTATATTATTTTAAATGAGTACAGACTAATTAATTTAGTCATTAATATATTGGCTACTACTGCTTTACTGATTCTTATCTTCTTCATGTTGATCTGTTGTTGCAAGTAAACATTAATGGTGGATAAACAATATATGTAGAACATAAGTGAACCATAATGATTTTATATGTTGTATTATTGTTGATTCTTATATCTATACATTATTGATTTTTATATTTATATATTTGTAACTTGTAACATTATCTTTGCTGAGAATGTTTGAGCAAACTTTCTTTTCCATAAATTAGCAAAATGAAAAAAACATGAGATTTCTTTTTTTGGGAGTTATTTTTTTATTTTTTGACTTCTTTTCATTTTTTACTAATTTTTTGTTTTTAATGTGAGTCTCACTATTTTCATGTGTAGTAGTAAGAAACTAGTTTATGTATAGTATTATTTTTTTTCCCCCCTTTTTTAGTCGATGGGGAAGGAGAGTAAGGAAAGGAGATTTCAAGACTCGAACTCAAAAGTTGAGTCGGGTTGACACTTTAGGATCTGATTTTTGACTTGAATGTAACTGCTTCCATTAAAAATGATAATTATTCTAATCTTGAGATAAATTAAAAATATATGTAATAAACTTTAGTTTCATGAGAAATAATAAACTTTAGTTTCAAGAGAAATTTTCTACTCGTCTTGGTTGTATTGTAGTATTAAACAACGGGGGAAAAAAATGATAATTAAGGTATTTATCACAATGAGGTTGACACTTCAACAACTATATAGAAATGCACATTATGATTTTATGGCATGATCAGTTACCAACATACAATGAGCTCTTCTTTGCATTAATTTGAACTCAAATAGATAGTGATAGCATGTGGGGTTATTAGAAAATGAAAGAAGAAAGAAAAGGAAATATCATCATAGCTTGGCAATTAGTTGAAGATAGAAAGCTCTTCTTTGCATTAATTTGAACCACCAATTACATTCACATAACATAAATAAGTTATGTCAATTCCAGGATAGATGTAATTTCTCTTGGATCCACTTGAAATAATCTTAATACCTTAAAAGGAAAATCTTACAATAAAATCGATTTCATATAATTATTTATGAGCTTCATATTCCTGGATACATGTCACTAAATTTGACTTATCATGTAATCGTGTACTCACTTAATAGTAAGGAAACATATGATTATCTTTTCTAAAAAACAAGAAGAAAATGATCTAATGTACTAACACACCAATTATTGTTGAACTCACACACCAAATATTGTTGTCGTATAACCAAACTTATTAAATATTTTCTCGAAATTAAGTGTCTTTACCACTTTGAATCATCTAATTGGTGCATGCAATGTTATTTTTTGGTACTCTATTTTAATTAATTTATTTTTATTTTATATATATACATATTTTTTTTTTTTTTGGCAATAAGAAAGATAGCTTGTGACAAGAATTTTAAGGTAACCTCAAGTTAGAGTTACTCAACCTAACTTAAAAATAAACCATGAATTATGTTGGCCCTCCCTTCCTACTTAATATTATTTAGTCCTCTCCTTATCTCCAAAGAGAAGTTAATTTTGGTTTAACTATCTTTATCTTCATGTTATTGCTAGGTTGGTAGACTAATCTTTTTCATTACTTCTATGGATAAACAACACAACTTATAAGTTGCGCTATTTTTTTAATCTATTTGTTTTTAATTTTTTTTTTTTTTTAAACTTTTGAGTCAAAATGTTATATTTTAGGTTTGTGTAAGTTAGACAATCTTAAAAGATTTATAAAGGAAAAATATAATAGTTTTCTGTTAAAAAAAGTTCATATTGGGCAAAAATAAGCCAATTTATATATATATATATATATTTAAAATATTTATCTTATTTTTTAGTGAATTTTTTAAAAAATAATACCATTTTTTTTTTAACTTTTTAAGTTTGTATATGATCCAAAAATTTTAAAAATTCAAGAAAAAGGTGATAAAAAAAGAGTCAGGTAAATGTGATAATTCTACCTACTAAAATAATCATGTTTGAGAAAAGTACCATGTCTAAAATGTTTCAAGATACCCAATAATTACTCTATTTATAAGGTCAAATTGTACCAGCCTCTTATGCCTCTTATGAAATTGAAATGTGTTTATTACAAAAGACACCCTTTATTTAATAAAATCACACTAACTTTTCCTATTAAAATGGATTTGATAATCAGCTTAATATAAAATTTTGATTTACTAAATTGCCCTTGCTCTTAAAACAATCATATTGTAAATCATTACTTCAATTTATTTTTTAATAAATATTACAACTATTAATACTCAAAGGGTCATAAATATACCTTTTGAGGTTTGCTTAAAATATGAATTATCTTATGTGATTTAAAAAATTACAAATACCCCTTTATCATAACGTTTTATTTAACCTAATTAACTAAAAAACTAAAATTTCTAATTGCTCTTTTTATATAATAATTAAATTACTTGAATTATTTGATTAAAATAAATTTCTAACATTATTAAAACCGGTTAATTGACTTAATGATTTATTGACAAAATAGGTTATTTATTATAAAATTAGAAATTTCAAAGGGTGAGATATAATTTTTAAACTTATTGGAGGCAAATCGTATTTTACATAAATCTCAAGAGGTGTATTTATAATTTGCTTATACTCAAAATATAATATAATATATAATCTTTTTCCATTCTCTTTCTACAAACTCTTCACAAAAAAAACTTTGCTTGTAAACGACTCTCTACTAATAAGGGGAAATGTGTGATGAGAATCTAACCTTAAAGGATGATGTGTAATATTCATGAAGCATAAGGTCCGTTGTAATAAAGTAATTAGTCAAAGTAGATAAATATAACTTATGGTACTTTTTAAGGTTCAAAAGAGCACTATCATGCCAAAATTCAAGTTGCCATCTACAACTTTGATCTGCTGTTCATATTATGACATGTCAACTCATGGAAATTATTATTTAATAATTTTATATCCATTTTATTGACATGTTATAAAGTTAAGTATATAAATTGATTTTGAATGACATAAATAAAAATTGTGGCACAAACCGGTGACCATATTGAAGTAAGTGCACCTACCAAATTTTTTTTATTTTATTATCGAGGTACACTTATCCATGGTCCAACTTAAATCATCTATTTTTTTCACCATCTTCAGAGAATGTAATTTAACAAATTTCTAATTTTTGAGGTAATTGAGCATAAATTTATTATCCTTGGGCAAAATCATATAAATATCATATTGAAATAACAACAGCTTTAAACACACTACATGAAACAAAATTCTTACACACTTTAATAAATCACTCCACATAAAACAACATAATTCCACAATTTAACAAATCTAACCAGCATTATTCCACAATTTAACTAATCTAACCAAGTAATCCAAATTAATGGGTAGATTCCTCGATCAATCCACTTTTAAATGCTTTAATTTTTTTTTTTACCTCTATAATAAAGTAACAATTGAGACAAAAAAAATGTTTAAGACCACTAATTTAAGAGCTTTAGGAGAGCTCTAATTGGTAGGATCTACCTCTTGATGTGATGTTTTTCCTTTTTTTTTTTTTTTTTTTTTTTTTTTTCCTCCTGCTAGCTCATTAGAGCTGGCAGTAGTGTTGCTGATTTACTGGTCTGTATCACCACTGTTGAAACAAATTTACTTGTGAATATAAAAAATAGGATGGAGTATTTGCCAATATGGAAATTAGTGAATTTCATTCAAATTTCACATTAGTCCTCCATTTTCTAATTGTAGTAATCCAATTCTCAAATTTTAACTCTTGTTTCAATTTAGTCCTCTAATCATTAACCGTGATAAAAATTGACTGAAAGTGCACACATGATTTGCACATGAAAAAGCTTCAAGACTATTAAAGAAAAAAATTATGGAAAAATGAAATTCAGACATCAAACTCTAAATCGTATATCTAATATCTATAGTGAATATATCATAAATTAACATTTATGAATTCGAAGTTACACTATTCACATATTTTCACTCAAATTTCATTTTGATCATTTATAATTTCACTTTCATTCAAATTTTAAACGATGAGATAATAGCAAGATTATATCAAGACTCAGGATAGAGACTAACATCATCACCAATAATACATTCAAATTTGGTGATGCCAATTTGATTGGAAGGTTTAGAACACCTAAAAATAAGCATTCCATTCAAAATTTCAAATTTACTAGTATTTATTTTTACTTTAATCTTTTTTATCATCCAACAAAGCTCCCTAAAAAATGAGCCCCATTTAATAAATAAATAAAAAATAATGATTTAAAGGTTCATCTCATAAGCCATATGTCAGATTTAACGATCAGAAATCCCAAATGCCAAAAGATTTTGAATTTTTTTTTTATAGAATATTTAACACTTTTTAAATTTGATTGCATCATGTGTCACCTAACATTTAACACCACCCTTGGCTTTGTTTGGAAAGTTAAGTTTGGGGCAATTTTTTTTTATTTACTATTTTAGTTATAAAAAATAAAATAGATTTTTTAACTTAATAAGATAAAATATCACATCCAATGTATAATTATTATATTATTTCTCTCACAAAAAAATCAAAAAAGTCAAAAGTCATTCCCAAACGAAACTTTTAACTTGAAACTAAAATAACTAAAAAAGTAAAAAAGGCAACTCATTTCTCAAACGAACGCCTTAGATGCTTTAAACATTTAGTTAGACATCATTTATTAACTATACATTTTAGTTAAAAAATTAAAAAATTATTATAAATTGTTACATCACTCTCTCTTTTTATTGTTCTGTATATTTTTTTTATAAAAATTTATTAAAATAATGTATTTTCAAACGAAGAAATATTACGTTCAAAAAACAAGCGACCGAAATAAAATTCAAATGAAAGTGGCAGTGGAAGGGTGAATAATATAATTTATTAGGGTAAATTACATTGATATCCCTTGAGATTTATATTTATTACAATTTTTTTTTTTACCTTTTGAAAATTACATCTCCCCCTAAGGTTTAAAGTTTCATTACAGATTTCTCCTTTCAACAATTTAATTTTTTTAAATACTAATTTTGCCCTTATTGGGTAAATTACATTGACACACATCATATTTTAAAAATTATAATTCCCTCCCCAAGGTTTAAAGTAGCATTATCAATTTTCCCCTCGGTTAGTATTAGTTGGAAAAAAAATTCATTAAAAAAATTTTAATTGGAAAAAAAATTAAATGAAAAAAAAATTTGTTAGTAAAATTTTTATTTAAAAACCAACGTAAACTTATTTTTTGAATTTACATTTTTTTCTCAAATTTATAAACTGAGACAACCATTTACAAATTAAAAAATTATCAAATAAGTTTTTATGACAGTTTTTAAAATTTTTGTAAATATAAATTGAAAACTGAAAACGAAATAGCTACCAAACATGCTTCAGATGGTAAAAATATCATAAAATTAACAAATAATCAAATAAGTTACCAATGTAAGAAATGACTTATAAAAAGATTCTTAGGTTATGCATGGTTTGATTTTTAGAAATTTTTTTTAAAAAAATTAAAAATTAATTTGGTTAAGAAATAAAAAATAAAAAATAATTATCATTTTAACTTTTGGATAGGTTATATACGTACGTATGACTGTTTCAATTTAATTGGTAAAAAATTATTTATAACCACTCGCAAAGATAAAAATTATATAAAAATGATAATTATTTTTTATTTCTTATTTCTTAACCAAATTAATTTTTAATTTTTAAAAAATATTTCTAAAAATCAAACCATACATAGCCTAAGAATCTTTGATGAGTTATTTCTTACGTTGGTAACTTATTTAATTATTTATTAATTTTACGACATTTTTATCATCTAAAGCCTGTTTGGTAACTATTTCGTTTTCAGTTTTCAATTTATATTTACAAAATTTTTAAAAATTGTCATAAAAACTTGTTTGATAATTTTTTTGTTTATAAATGGTTGTCTCCGTTTGTAAATTTGAGAAAAAAACATAAATTCAAAAAATGAGCTTACATTAATTTTTAAACAGAAATTTAAAAATTTTATTAACAAAATTTTTTTTCAATTAATTTTTTTTCAAAGAATTTTTTTTCCAACTAATACTAGCCGAGAGGGGCAATTGGTAATGCTACTTTAAACCTTAAAGAGGGGATTATAATTTCTAAAATGTGAGAGGTGTCAATGTAATTTACCTAGTGATGGCAAAATTGGTATTAAAAAAAATTAAATTGCTGAGGGGAGAATCTGTAATGAAATTTTAAACCTCAGGAGGAGATGTAATTTCTAAAAATTGAGGAAAAAATTGTAATAAATATAAATCTCAGGGGTGTCAGTGTAATTTATCCAATTTATTAAAATAAAAATTTACCAAAAAAGAATGGTAAAAAAATTTGTTAATTTTAAATCAAAGTTTAAAACTGGGAAGTCACCATCATCTTCCATCGTCTCCCCTTCTATGTTTCTTACACGAGAGGATAGCCAAACCTCTCTCTCTCTCTCTCTCTCTCTCTCTCTCTCTCTCTCTCTATATATATATATAAACGTATTTACCCCATATATATATATATATATACATATATTATTACCCATTTCAGATGTAAATTCATCACCTCACACCTCTCTCTCTCTCTCTCTCTCTCCACTTGATAAAAACTATAGGGTGATTGAAAAACGGTAGATTGGAAGAACAAAGGAAGAGAGAGGAAAAGGGAGGGCCTTTCGCCCTCTTTTTGTTATGCCTCCTCTCAGATCTTAGATTCTCTCTTTCTCTCATCTGGGTCTTCTTCAATTGGTAATTTTTGCTATCTTTACATGCCACACAATTCTGGGTTGTTGTTGATCTTTCCCTTTTTTTTTTCCTTCCCAATTTCAAGCTAAATTTAAATTCTTTCCTTTGCTTTGCTCAGGAATTCTCGATCCTTTGCTGATCGATTATTGATCTGTGAAAGATCGGATGCTTTTCTATTGATTCCAAGAATACCCATTTCCTCAGTCATCTTACAAGTCTCCAATTTTCTACTAGATTCTTTGCTAAGGTATGCTTGTCCTTGTTTAATCTACATTATGATGTTTTATGTTGGATATGATTGGTTTTTATGTTTTCATAGAAATCTAAGAAGTGGGAATTGAATCACATATGTTGATGTTTTCCAGTCAATTACATGTTGCTCTTTAGATCTGGTTTTATAGTTTTATACTTGGTTTTGTGTTGATGATGGATTGATTGATCTTTGTAAAGTTTGAATTTGTGGATATGAATTTGTTTTTGAATTCAATTGGTGGGATTATTGGTTGCAGGATGGAAATGGAGCCTGGAAAGTTATTCATTGGTGGGATTTCTTGGGACACGAACGAAGACCGTCTGAGAGAGTATTTCCAAACTTTTGGTGAGGTAGTTGAAGCTGTGATAATGAAGGATCGGAACACAGGGCGTGCTCGTGGTTTCGGTTTTGTTGTCTTTGCTGATCCCTCTGTTGCAGAAAGAGTTGTTAGGGAAAAGCATATCATAGATGGTAGAACTGTAAGTTGTGCATTTGAATTAAAGTTTTGTTTGTCATTACAGATTTTTCTTACTGATATTTCAATGGGTAATTTTGCTTACATTATGAATTGAAGTATATCATCTCATAACAACTATACTTTTCTGATTGAATCTTGATGTAGTATCAGAACTAAGTTGAAAATTATGACGGGATGTAGTTTGTCATAGAATTTATTTTGTAATGAAGCGAAACCCAATTAATTTCGATTTATGATATGTTTGAGGTGCATTTATTAGGTAGACATGTAAGTTATGCATTTGATTAAATTTTTGTTTGGCATTAAACTTTGCTCAATATATATTTCAATCATTATTTTGCTTATATTGTGAATTGAATTGAAGTATATAGCATCTCAAAACTTAGTCAAGCAAGTATACCGTTTTGATTGAATCTTAAATGTGTATCGGAATTAAGCAGAAAATTATTCCTGGATGTAGTTTTTCAGAGAATTGATTCATTCTCCATTTACTTGTACTAAAGTGAAACCCAATTCATTTCAATTTACGGTGCATTTATTAAGAGGGTGTTTGGAATGATCAAAATAAATATACTTTTTGACTTTTTACGAAAAGATGTGCAAAAAAGTAGAGATATGATGTGACCCGAAAAAGATTAAAAAAGTGCACTTTTGTAGGGGATGCCAAATTGTGTCTAAAGTTTTGTTTGGCATTACAGATTTTGCTTAATATATTTCAATGGGTAATTTTGCTTACATTATGAATTGAAGTATAGCATCTCCAAAACCTAGTTTAGCAATTATACTGTTCTGATTGAATCTTGATGTGCATCAGAATTGAGCGGAAAATTATGACTTGTAATGATGCGAAATCCCTTTCATTTCAATTACAATTTGTTTGACTGCGTTTATTGTAGATAGCTTAGGCATGGGACTTAATTAACTACTTGTCATAATTGAGCTAGAACAACTTAACTATGATGTAAATCATATTGTCTAGAGGAAAGCATATCTTTAGAGATCAAATGCATTTTGAGTGTTTTACCAACAATCACTTAGACAAGCAATTTTAAGTGCACTGAGCATAGGCCAAAAATCAACAAAACATAAACATTAAGAAGATTTCTTGTGTGATAGAAAATGTGGGAAAGCAATATTGCAGAGGAAAAGAATAGTGCCATACTGCCATATGCTATGGCTGGGGTTTGCTTGGAAATCAACTGTTTTGGAATGAAATTTTTGGAAAGAGAAGTGAAAAGAACACAACTTACAAATGACTATAAGTGGGGTAGTGCGTATGGTGTAAATATTTTCACTAGGAATTTGCCATTGGAAAAAGAAAGGGAGGAAAGCATTAGAGACACTAAATAAATTTTAGTGAAAAGAGAGTATTATATATATATATGTAATGTAGCTTGTGCTTGTCTGATATGGTTTTCATAGGGTGTGCTTCAGATTATCTGCTTCAGGAATTTAAGATATGAAAATCTTGATAGCTCCAGAAGGAAAAACCAGAAGATCCAATACTTACTTGTGAATTTAGTTTTTTAAGAATTGCTCATTAACATTAATTATAAAAGTAAGCGCTGCTTCAAATATAAGACCTTTTTTTTCTTTCCTTTAATGGTTATTTTAACTTACACTCAATAGAATTTGTTTCTCAATTTCTGACTTTTGTTCTCAGGTTGAAGCCAAGAAAGCTGTTCCTAGGGATGATCAACATATGCTAAGCAGAAACAACAGCAGCCTTCAGGGTTCACCAAGTCCTGCCCGAACCAAAAAGATATTCGTTGGAGGTTTAGCATCGACAGTCACTGAGAGTGACTTTAAAGAGTACTTTGATCAATTTGGTACAATCACGGATGTTGTGGTAATGTATGACCACAACACCCAAAGGCCTAGAGGTTTTGGGTTTATCACTTATGATTCAGAGGATGCGGTGGAGAAAGTGTTGCTCAAAACTTTTCACGAACTCAATGGTAAAATGGTTGAGGTTAAGCGAGCTGTCCCCAAGGAACTATCGCCAGGGCCAACTCGGAACATGTTAGGTGGATACAACAACTATGGCCTGAGTAGAGTTAATAGTTTACTTAATGCCTACACTCAGGGGTATAATCCAAGCTCAGTTGGAGGGTATGGAGGTAGATTCAGTCCGGTGACAGTTGGACGGAGTGGATATCCTACATTTGGTCCTTCCGGGTATGGGATGGGACTAAATTTTGAACCGGGATTGAGTCCAAGCTATGGTGGAAATGGTAATTTCAGTTCTAACATTGGCTATGGGCGTGGATTGAACCCTTTCTACAATGGGAGTCCAAACAGGTATAACAACAATCCCGTTGGGTATGGTTGGGGTAGCGGTGGAAGTGGTTCTGTTTTAAATTCGACAAGTCGGAACATGTGGGGGAATGGGAGTCTCAATTATGCTTCGAATTCTGCTAACTCTAATAATTCATTTATGGGCTCGGGAAGTGGAAATACTGGATTGGTTGGTGCTTTTGGAAGTATCGGAGAAATTTGGGGTTCCAACATTTCTGGTCAAGGTGGACCCACAGATTCGACTTTTAATAGTGGCAACGTAAGTTATGGAAACATGGACAATAGTTTTGGGTTGGGAGTGGGCGGGTATGGAAGAAACAGTGGAAATACTGCTGCACCGACACCATCATATGGAAGTGACAGTCTTGATGAACCATTTGGGAATATCTATGGAGGTGATTCATTTTATGGGAATTCTACTTGGCGGTCATCATCTCCAGAGTTAGAAGGCTCTTTTGGATATGGGTTTGGGAAAGTGGCTTCAGATGTTACAGCCAAAAACTCTGCCGGATATGTTGGTGATTATTCTGTTACCAATAGAGCTAATAGAGGTTACACTTTTCTCCTTATCTCTCATATTCACTTCTTTCTCTATCCGTTAGATCGCTTATTCTTCTTCTTTTTCCTCTACATGCGAAGACTCATCGTAGCTAATTTGGTGCCATAAACTTGGGCTTGTTTTTGCGCATTGATTGTCAGTCTAGTTTCCTTACTTTAGACACATAACTTATAGTTACCCTAAGATCATCTGATGGAAATCATGTGTATTTCAACACCAACATTATGTATAGCCTATTAGTTTGGTTTGGTGAGTGAACCGGTTTGGGACCATCCCTTAGAATACGTGACCATACCATCCAAAAGTAGGACTTTTAGGTTGTGTTTGGATCTTGGATTTGAGAAAGTATTTGGGGAGCGAAAGCGAATGAAAAGGAGAGGGAAAAGTGAAAGAAATAGAATATAGATTTTTGTCACTTTTTTCCATTCCATTTTTCTTTCCCTCCACAATTCTTCTTAAATCCAAAATCCAAACACTTCCTTTTTTATGTAGTACAAGAATTTAAAGTCGATGCATACACCACTCGTATAGTTTCACTGGGAAATCTAAACCCAACCTTATTATTGATCAATAAGAAAAAAAAGGAAATGGAAAATGGTAGATATTTGGGTAATATGGTTAGAATATTGTACTTTTTTTATTTATTAACGTAGTGTTTATGTATGGATCTATACTCTTCTTAGAGATGCAAGTTCAAGCCACCTGATAAATAAGTCATTGATGAATGCTGGATGTTGGATGCAATACCGTTTGTATGAACTTCAAAATGGATGCCATTATCTGCATTCAATAACCTTAAAATCCCATGCAAGTTTCCCTTGAGTTGCCCAAAATGTCTGTCGCATTTGCACCTAAATAATTTCTTGTAAAATAAATGCTCAGAACTTATTGCCAATCAATTTAAGTTATAGTCCTTGCTTCCATGATGCAAATCTATTTATTTCCAATGCAATCACTTGTGCTACTACCCCCTGAAAGTGGATGAAATAGGATTAAGTTGCCTTTGAAATGCTCAAAGGCTGAGTTTGTTTAGATTGAACGTGATATAAAAAAATAAAAATAAAAATAAATAAAAAATAAACAACAACATGAACTTTTCCCTAATTTGTTTAGAGTGCAAGTGGTGGAATTTACAAGAAAGTTTAATCTTCACATATTAGCGGGGTAACTAAAATTGTAGTTTTACAAAAACACAATAAAATTTAGCCGTGTTTGGTGTGGAGTTCTAATCATGACTCCACATTCATATTTGAGTGTGGTGTTTGATAAAACTTTTAAAAATTAATTCCACACTCACTTTTGAAGACCCGTTCCAAGCGGAGTTTTGAATTTTGAAATTTGGCCTACCTGGTCGTCCTCTCGGACGTCTGGCCGGTTGAACGGAACAGTGCTATTTTTTTTTTTTTTTTTTTTTGGGGGCACCTGGGGGAGGAGGCAATTGGCACCTGTTATTTTTTATGTTTTAAATAAAAAAAAATTTCGGATTTTTTAATTTTTTTTTTTGAGTTTTGAATAGAATTTTGAGTTGTGTATTTGGTTATGAGTTGTAAGTTTTTGAAACAAATATCATATATCACATCAAAAATTCAAAACTCAATTCAAAACTCTTTTCAAAACTCATAATCAAACAAATTTTTCACACTCAAATCATAATTCCAAAGCTCATAAACTTAAAATACAACTCTATTCTCAAATCGTAATTCTAAAACTCTACCAAACGCTACCTAAATTTGTCTATGCAAGGGTTTATCTATAGTTCAAATTTCAAATCTCTCGTAACTTCTTGCAAAATTTTCATCCTAATCAAATGATTGCAAGAAAGTTTGTTTCCATTCAATTTCATTTCTTTCTCTTTCATTTTTCACCATTTTTTCTTTCTAATTAAACAGAGTCAAAGGGCTACATATATGCTATTAGAAAAACTAATCATTATTTTCATTTCCAATTTTGTGTTATGATAATCATGTGTTCTTTGATATCTGTTCCTCCAGGAATTGCTGCCTAGGAAGATTATTATATTGATGTCTGAAGGTTATTATTATAGGCGAAGAACATCTGGTGAACCATATGGACTGTGAATGAAGCTTATTTTCCTCAGCCAGTTTGTTCAGTTTGATAGTACATTTGATTAGAGTGCTAATTGGATCACCTGTTTTCATAGAACTCATCACAGAGGACAGTTACAAGGAAGGTTTTCATGTAAGGTTTGAGCTTGAGTTTTTTCAATATAGGATTTCTTTCTTCAGAAAATTGAGATGTAAAATCTGATCGCGGGACATCAACATAACTGTATCATGCATCTCCAGAGATACATAAAACACAGAGGTTTTCTCTCCTTTTTTCCTTTTCTTTTTCTTTTTTTTTTTTTTTTTTCTTCTTTCACTCTTTGTGCGGTAATGTTGGGCGAAGTTTGTTAGTTCTCTTGTCAAGTATGTTGTTTTTAATTTCTTCCCCTTTCTGGGTATTGTTGTTAGCAGATTGTATGGAATCATTGGCTGATTTGCTAGTTTGAAATGGATGCTCATGTTGGGGTCCCCTAATAATAAATTGTTTAATATTGATTCATTTTCTACTGGCACATTCTTTCCAGCAGACTTTAGCTTTGTTTCTCTAAGGCTGTATTTGGCGGGAAGATTTAAGAAGAGATTTAAAAAGAAAAAGAGAAAATGTAGGTGAAATGAAAATAAAATATACTTACATTTTACATAATTTTATACATTTTTTTCTTTTCTATTTTCAAATCCCTTCTCAAATCCAAACACAGCATAAGATTTTTGTTTCTTTCTTCATTTATTTATTTGATTCTTTTGGTTCCCATGATTTATAGACTTGTAAAGCTGAAATTTTTTGATCCATATTTTGGTTGAGTTTGATATTTACAAGACTTTGTTTGGATCTTAAATTTGTGGGGAAAAAAATGAAAAAGGAAAAGGAGAAATGAAGTAGAAAGTAGATTTCTTTTTTTTCTTTTTTCTTTTTTCTTTCTCTCTGCAAATGCAATATCTAATGTTGTTTTTTGTCTTGAATTTCTGAAGGAAAAGAAAATTTACGTAAATCGTTTAATGCCTGTGTTTGAATTTCAGATATGTGAATAAAAAAATAGAAATAAAAGAACTTAATTTTAACTCTTTCACTTTATTTATATACTTTTTTTTTTAATACCTTTGTCGTACTTTTATTTATGAATTTATTAGTGACTTCAGCATCATAATGTTATGATTTTTTTAATCATCAAAGGTTTTCTTTAGGGGAGTGGTTAAAAAAATTAGTTTATTAAATAAAAAGGATAAATTACAAATATATTTTTTAAAATTTGTTTAAAATATAGATTATAGCTTACAATATAAATTATTCTGTGATTACAAAAATTACAAATATTTTTTTATTAGAATTATTTATTTAACAAAATAAATAAAATTATCAACTATTCTCTCATAGTATAATAAAATTACCAAAATTGTTAATTAAAATATATTTATGACATCATTAAAAATTATAAATTGACTAATGATTTATTAATAAAAAAATCATTTGTTATGTGATTAGAAATTTAAAAGGTCCGGATGTAATTTCTCAAACCACAAGAAATAATTCGTACTTTAAACAAATTTAAGAAGAGAGTATTTGTAATTTATCCTAACTAAAAACAAGCTAACAAAGTAATTGATGTTAAAAAATGATTGTTTGTTTGTTATATTTTAATTTCTTTAAAAAAAATTAATGATTTTTTTGAATGGAAAAAATTGGCTTTTTGCAATAAATGAGAATGTCCAAATAATTTAATAATCTTTTCTTCTTTGTTTTTTAAATTTATAGAAAAATAGATTTTCTTAACCAATAAATTGATTTTTAAGAAGATGTCAAAGTAAGAAAGGAATAAATTTCTATCTATTTGAAGTTCAAGTGAGTTGAAGGGTTATTCTACAAAAATTCAACCGCTCAAATGGATATATAGTAACGCTGTATTTGGCTGAGAGATTTGGAAAGGAAAAAGGAAAAAAGTGTGTGAAACTACTTATCTTTTCTATTTTTCTTTTCAAATCCATTCTCAAATTTTCCAACCAAACACAACATAAAACTATTCTTGAGCCAAATGGGTGTAAATAATAAGAAAAAATCAACATATGATTTGGAATACGGTGGGCTTGTGTGCCTTACCCATGGTGATTCATGATTTTTTCATTATTCTTGTTTTTGAGTCACGTAAGTAATGGGCAAACACAACCAATATAATAGAGGATCAATGTGATCGAATTACAAAATTAAATTCAGGTTCCAAACACTCTATTCCAAAAAATGCATAATAATTTTTTAAAAAATAATTTTTTTTAAAAGTAGACACCAATGTTTTAAAGTGGGGCGCAAGCCTCCGCATCACATACCACCAAGGGTGGTGGCCCAGTGGTGAAGGCATTGCATTTCCACAGTCATGAGTCAAGTTCAACTTCTAGGGGTGCGAAAATCTTGGGATTTCCAGGGGCTCTCTGCGGAGACCTCGCGTTATACTCCAATCGAACTTGTCCATGGCTAGGACGGTTGATGAGCTCCATTGGTGTCTCGGTAGTAGGTCCCTTCCTGTGGATTAGGTTAAATCAAGCTGGCAACCGGCTACCCGGGGCCTGGCCTACGGAGGTCGTGATGCCCCCACAAAACCTCCCTTTTTTATGTTAAAAAAAAAAAAAAAAGCCTCCGCATCACATGACACTAGAGGAAGCATAATGGGTACAACTTGGTGTGAGTTCCAGTGATGGGTTGGTTACAAAAGGTGAACAGGCAGAATAACTAACTGAAATATTTGTAAGATTGTGTGGCCACTTTTTGAAAAAATTATTCAGTAGTTATCATTCTGATATTAGGGTAATTATTCAGTACTCTCGGCATATAAACACGTGGTGTTGCACAAGATTCTGATTGGTGGAGAAATACAAAGGCCCACGACTTATATTAGGGAGGGAGGAACAACATGAGATTAAATAATTGGTGATTGGTTTAGAATATGGACACGTGGTATTCCGAAAGTATTAAATAATTTTCCCTGATATTGTATGCTAGATTAATGAAATTTTAAAAAAAGTGAGAGTTATCGACAAAGTTACTAAAATTCTTTCATATTTTGTCTTTTTTCTTTCATGTATTGTTTTCATTAATTGGACATATTGGTGATATAATATGTCATACCTATGAAATAACTTCTCCTATTTTTGACACTCAGGTTTCGTTTGACATGAACTATTTTGTCTAAAATTAGCTAACAAAGACATAACAAATTAATTTAGCCAATAAAATAAAAATATCACATCTAAATCATAATCATTTTATTTTCTTGTGACAATAATCAAATCAATCTAAAAAAAATCAAAACTTATCCCAAATATAACTTTTTTAGTCAGTCTAAAATAATAAAAAAAAATCAGACTAAATTATCTCACATCAAACGAGGGGTTATCCTATATAGCCTAGCCTACTACCATAACACAGTTTTTTTTTTTTTTTTTTAATATTATATCTGTAGAAGAAGAAGTTGCTTTCAAAATCACTTTCATTTTTATATATTAATTATATTATTATAATAATATCCCAAAATAAGGGATATACTATTATTAATATTGGGTGGTCCATTCCACTCCCCCATTTCCCAGTTAAAGCATGGGTCCGTATCTATCCATTCCTCCCAATTGATTGGGAGACCCCAAAATTTGACATTTTTTAAATTATTACTGAGCATCATCAACCCCCACTCCACTACTAGCTATCAACAATTTTAGCCAAAAAAAAAAAAAAAAAAAAAAAAAATCTTTTTTTATTATTTTTATTTTTAGAAGGTAAAAGCATCTTTGGGACAAAATCTTACCATCACCATACTATCACCATCACCACTAAATATTAAATTGGGTTGACGTAGGGTAGGTTGAGAAAATAGTGCCCAAAGGACGCGTATGGGCTAAAAGCCCAGCAAGCTTGCACTAACAGGCTAGGCCAGTAAGCCAAAATCTTAAACCAAGATCCAACCTGTATTTTTTAGGGACTGTGATTGAGACTCCCTCAATCACCAACTCCCACCACCTCCACACACATGTTGGGGTTGGTGATTGGAGAAGGAGTAGAAAAAAAAAAAAACAAAAAAATCTGGCCAATCAAAGGCCGTGAGGGTCACCCCCGTCACCCCTAGAGGGGGTTCGAATCATTTTTCATTTTTTAGTTTATTTATTTTTTAATAGGCTTGCAGACCAAGGAGACATGCCCCTCTCACGGGCCAACAAGAGGGTTGAACTTCAAATTGCAAGCCTAGACCAAGCCTCATTCAAGCTGCCCGTCCAAGGCCACTGGCTTTGGCCAAGCAGCGAACTTTCAAGTCAAATGATAACCCTTATTGCCTCACCCCCACCCACCACCGTCACTACTGCCCCACCATCACCACCAATGAGAATAAAAACAAAAACAAAAACAAAAGTTTTTCAGTTTTCAGCACTGCAAAATTGAGAAAGACAAACAAGAACAACTCCAGTGCTTTTTACCCCTATTAGGTTATTACAATGTGGTAAAGAGAAAATCCATTTATCCCCTTCAAGTCATTTACATTTTCTACTCCACTTTCTCCTCCTCATAGCCCAAAAAAGAAGAATAAAGATTGGTAGCTAAAGATTATCGCGGCTCGATTGCCCCGAATTGCAAAACGACGTAGTTTTGCTCTTTTTTTTTCCCTCCTCTCTTTTCTCTAAAACAAGGAGAATTTTTTTTCCCTCTTCTCTGAAACAGGGAGAAGAGGGAAGAGAGAAGAGAGAACAGGCAATGGCGGCACGACGGAGGCGATGGCACGACAGTGGGTCTCTTCCTCCCTCTTCTCTCAACAGATCTATGTGTGTCTCTGATTTGCTTTTGATTTGTGAGTTTATTTTTTATTTTGATTTGTGGGTTTGTTTTTTATTTTGATTTGGTTTTGATTTGTATATAATTTTGATTTGATTTTGATTTGTATAAATACACATATCATTTTTGCTGTGGGTTTGTTTTTTATTTTGATTTGGTTTTGATTTGTATATAATTTTGATTTGATTTTGATTTGTATATATACACATATCATTTTTGCTGTGGGTTTGTTTGTGATCAGTTGTTGATTTTGATTTTGTTTGTGGATTTTGATTTGATTTTGTTTGTAGGTTTGTTTGTTTGTTTGTTTGTTGATCAGTTTTGATTTGTTTGTGGATTTTGATTTTGTTTGTGGGTTTGTTTGTATACACAAATCAGAAGGTTGAAACTTCACTCAGTCATGTTTGAGAGAGAAAGAGAGGAAACTGTGTTAGTAGAAGGCAAGGAAGGAAAAAATAAATAAATAAATAAATAAATCCGGCCATTCGAACCCTTGTTTTTTCTAGCTACCAATCACTTCTGAAAAAAGAAAACAAAAAATATTGTTTGAATCAACATTTTAACAGTAACAACAATTTGAATTACACAAGGGAGAAGAAATGGCTAAAAACTTTATAACACTCAAAATTTTGGGCTTGGGTAAAGCCACAAATTCCCAACCCAAAAATAGCCTTAGGATTAACAACACCCACCTTTTTTAGCTTGACCATCTACTTCCTGGTTCCCATCATGCAACACGATGGTCTTTCCACTTCCCATCCACGCAGGATCTTCTTTTTTGAGCTCTTGAGTTTGTATTACTTTCCGACTCAAAATATTATAGATCTCTATCACAACTGTCTGAAACGCAGCGGCTACATTGGAGGAATCAAGAGCGGAAGTTTCAATAAAAAACAAACCTTGTGCCTCGGCCAAGGCCTTGCCTTCAGCGGTGGAAACCTCCCTCAAATCTTTAAGATCGGACTTGTTCCCAACCAGTATTGTAACTACATTCATGTCGGAGTGAGCTGTTCAATAAATCAAAACAACACCACATCAAGCCTTGGCTCCTCAAACAAACGTCTTTTTGATATTTTAACCAAGAATACTAAATAAACATATATTCATTTGTCTTATCGATATTAAGAACACTCATCAATATTGTTACACTAATAAAATACAACAGCTTCAATTTCAATAGTAGTCATTAAGCATCACTATAATTGACAGAACAATATCAACAACTCAACTCAAGCTCATCTTAAGTTCATCCAAGAGTCATTAACTGAACTATATATTGACGATATATAATGGGATGATGAAGACAGCAGAGAACAATGGTGACAATAAACCTCCATAAACAAATATTCATCAAACAATACTCCAATTATTCATCGGCCAAGCAAATAAAACACTTAAAAACACAAACCTTTGCAAAGCATTTAACCCATTAAATGTGGATATTATCATCTTATCAATTGGTGTGAAATTTCTATATCTTAATTCATTACATGGGAGCAGGGGCGATGCCACAGCATAGTCTGTTGTGTCAGTTGAACCCCCTCAAGAGAAGAAAAAATTTATTTTACTTTGCATATAATTGTTGTTTTAGAGATGTGTTACCACAAGTGACCCCACTAAAAAATTAACTTTGAACCCACAGAATGGACCAAACATCATTTGGTTGTGGTGCTTACTGTGAAGTTCATTAAGCCATCTGCCAATGTCATCGAATGTCTGACGCCTACTGATGTCATATACCAAAAGAGCTCCAACCGCGCCCCTGTAATATGCAGATGTAACAGCTCTCCTGAATCGCTCCTGACCAGCTGTGTCCCAGATCTGTGCCTTAACTTCCTTCCCATTGATATCCATTTTCTGAGTTTGGAACTCTACTCCTATAGTTGATTTAGAATTAGGGTAAAACTCATCCCTTGCAAATCTAGCAAGCAAGTTTGATTTCCCAACAGCTGAATCGCCAATCAAAACAACCTTGAAAAGATAATCCTCAGATTGCTCCTCTTCAGTACACAATGCCATTTCCAAACCCTCATACAACGCCACACTCAACTAGAGAACCATATTAGCTGATGTGTGATCATCAGTATCGTGGGTCCTTTTCCAGGAGCTAAATGTCTAAGAAAAATTAAACAATCCCCAATTCAAGACGAGAAGCTGAAATTAGACAATATAAGGACAAAGACAGTGGTTTCCACACTCCTCTCCCTCCCAAATGGAAACATATCTGAAGCTTTCTCAACTTAAGATTCCAATCTGGTCCTGCAAAGGCAAGTCTCAAGGTTCCTGCAATTTCAAGAAAGCGTCAGAATCTGAAAACTTCTACAGAAGGATTCAGCTTTTTGATTGTTGATTCTTTCTCAAAGTGCTCAGAAAAATAAGTAGCCCATCCCAGTAGAACAAATTATCTTGAAAGAAAAACGTACTTTGATCTTTGCAACTGACAGTCTATTGTAACTGTGGTTGTTGGGTGTAGGCTGAAGCTGCTCTTTCTACAGAGGCTCTAACCTTTTTAACCCCCAGGCAAGCACTTCGATATTCCAAATCCCTACTCTTGCTCTGCTTTTGCTTGCACCCCCTCTTTTCCTCCACACACTTTTGAGCTCAGACCTTAAAATTACAAAGGATTACTCTCAAAAAGAAATTGTAGCATGAGGTAATAGTCCTACATTTCCATTGTGAGGTGGTACAAACACAAAAAAGCCACACAAAGATACAGCCATATTTTATTTAATAACAAAATGGTAAAAGTCTATAGTATTATCCTCTATTTTTCTGAAACACATTCCAAACTATTAATCATTAGCATTTTAAAGCACGTCCATAAAATCGACTATAGCTGTTTCATATAAAATTGAACTCCATCCACTTAGTAATCTCAAGTCTCAACAAGTTGTGTTAATTTGGACAATAATGTGAAACACCAAACATAAGAGGTGAAGGGCAAAGAATTTGTGCATAAACATGGGTTGTTTGGTGATAGTTTTTATATATTTATTTTGGGAGTTTGTGTCGAACTATTTGATATAGCTTATGCTTACAGTCTATTAGACAAAAATAGCTTAAATAAACTGAAAAGAACTGATTAAACATTTTTCACAACTGAGATATCACCTAGAAGGGCGAGAAATTTTATTATTCTGTTCATATCCACAAAAGAAAAAAATTCCTAATCACTAAAGTTTTACTAATGGTATAACCAAACACAAGGCTGAGATAAAAGGGCTTGCGGAGGAATACCATAAGAAGTATTATTTAGTGACACTTGAAGCCAAAAAGAACATTCAAACACAAAAATATGCATTGGCATCAATTAGAAGATGAGGACTGATAGCAGACAAACCCTAAATATATTTATATCTATGCTATCTATAATATTATATAAAACCTACATCTGAGTTGGTGTAGACATGTCAAACTTTTTTTATTTCTGAAAATGCCCACAAGAGCAATTACATAAAAGCAAGAGTACATAGCCAAAATATGATCTTTTCAATTGCACACCTTAGTGTGCTGACCCTTCAAGTATATGTATATATTAGAACTCACTTGGCGAGGTTATCCCTATGCAAGTGCCCTGATTATCCCTATGTAAGTGCCCTGATTTCAGCTTTTTTTTTTTTTTTTTGAGATGACAGTTACAATTTCTATTCGTGCGTGTGCATAGCCTTCTAGTACATATATGAAGGGAGAAAAGGAATTGCTAAAAATGGTAACTTTTCAATATCCACTCTTTGTCAACATGTTTGTTGTCTCATATTGTCCAGGCCATCCAACAGAAGAACCTAATATATGTGTCGATTACAAAAGTACTACAAATAGCTTCTTCACAAAATTCAACTTTCCCTAGTTTTTCCAATTGTATCCACTCAGACCTGGGAAAAAAAAATTAAAAAATAAAAAATATATTGCAAGTACCTTATACAATTAAGACACCAAAAAGGCAATTTCTTTGTTTCATCTCCACACAAGTTAAATTTGATGGCTACACAAACCCAACCAATGACCTTCGCATTTCAAAACTGACCAAATAATCTTGATTTCAATTTCTAAGATTCTATAGAAACAAAAAAAAAAAAAAAAAAAAAAAAAACAACAACAACAAAGACAATTGTTTATAATAATGCACTCAAAAAAAGAAAAAAGAAAAAGGTACTTGCAAATCAAAACGATAAAAAAAATAAAAATAAATGAAAGAATTGAACGAGGGTGGAAATGCATACCTTGTTGATGATCAAATGCGAACACTTTCCCTCTCTCTCTCTCTCTCTTTCTTGATCAAGCTGGTGATCAAATCAACCGTCAAAATGTGGACCGAATTGCAATCAAGTGCGTTAATTCGATGGTTGTGTGTTCGTGAGAGAGATTAGGGTTAGTTTTCGCGATTCGAGGAGAGAAGTCGCGGGCAGACACAGAGATAGAAGATCAAGAGGGGAGAGAGAGAGAGAGAGAGAGATTTGAGATTTACAGAGAAAGAGAGAGTAACTAAACGACAAAAGGCCTCCGTCAAATGGACCCCAGAGATAGATACTGGACCCTGGATCTGAAGTTGACGGCCCAATTTTGTCGGGACTCTGAAAACTGTGTTTGCTCCCCCCCCCCCTTCCTCTCTCTCTCTCTCTCTCTCTGCATTGACTACCATATACTTAGATGTTCGGTCTTGTTATTATACACGTGTATCTCTTCCCTCTAGTACTGAACAAGTCCAATTTAAGGGTTGATATCGGGTCGGGTCTGGTACGAAGCCACAAAAACAGTGTCTAAGTTTACTCATAGGTTAAGCTTAACCTCTTTTCATAAAGTTGGTGTACGGGAACGAAATATCTTTTGCTTTTCGTACTCTTTATACTCTAAGTTTCTCTTGATGGTATCTACTTGGCAACACAGAAACGGTGAGCTGCCCGGCGGTGGTGTGCCGGATAGACCCTCCGACAATCAAGTCAGTTCACTTGAGGAAGAAGAAGACTGATAGAGAGAGAGTATTCTCTTTGGGGAAGAAGTTGCATACCTTTAACGTTCGTCCTCCTCCATATTTCAAGGCTGGCCATGCAGCCTCAAGATTATGCGCGCACTACCTCTGCTGTCCTTCCCAAGACAGGTGGCAGTGCTCGCCTCTCACCACCTTACGCATGTAAAGGCTTAGTCCTCCCACCAGTACACGCAGAACTACAGCATCTATAACACTGCAGAATAACACAGCCATTCAGAACCATTCAGCATCTTAATCGTAAGGAACAGAACCACATTCGCCCCAGCAGACTATAACCAATTCATCCAATCCACCCCAGCAGATCAAACTTACAGTAGAAGCAGTCCCTAACCAAAGTAGAACAACAGGCAGTGATGTACTTCGACAGACCAGCACTGATTTTTCTTGTTTCATTTCTACAATCAAAAAATGGAGGAACAAAACTCCAGCTAAGGGGAAATTCAGTCCAAAGCAACCCCTAGCACCTAAGGCAAACATCTGAGCTTGGGGCTCCAATCCACACTGACACAGGTTAGAAACAAGACCAACCCCCACACCAGCCAACACAGACCAGAAAAGAAAGCAGCACAGATCAGTCATTTTGCCAGAATCTGCATTAACCTGCATTGCCTTTGAACAATACTCCATAAATTCAGCACAGATCACTACTGCAGCCCTATAATCATTCTGTGAACTCAGAATAAGAACAACACAGTGAAAGAACTCCAGGCAGAAATCCAGCCGGCAGAAGAACCCCAACAGAAAACAGGAGACAGAGTATGCTGAGGCTTTCTTTTAAACTGAATTGCATAGCAGATATCAACTGTAGCATAGCCTGGTTAGTCTCCAATTGAGAGCCACATCCTCGACTGAGAAGGGAAAGTTCTTGACAGAGGCTTTAAGCCAAAGGGCCAATCTGATCTTGATAAGTTCCCATAGTTCTGCAGAGTTAGGATGAGCATCTCTGAAAACACACTCATTCCTTAGCTTCCAGAGAGACCACAATACAACTAGTGGAATTGCTTCCCAGAATTTCCTGAGAGGGTGTTTGAGCTTAGTCCCCATCCACCAGTTAAACAGAGCATCTACGGACTGAGGGATACACCAACACAGAAACGGTGAGCTGCCCGGCGGTGGTGTGCCGGATAGACCCTCCGATAATCAAGTCAGTTCACTTGAGGAAGAAGAAGACTGATAGAGAGAGAGTATTCTCTTTGGGGAAGAAGTTGCATACCTTTAACGTTCGTCCTCCTCCATATTTCAAAGCTGGCCATGCAGCCTCAAGATTATGCGCGCACTACCTCTGCTGTCCTTCCCAAGACAGGTGGCAGTGCTCGCCTCTCACCACCTTACGCATGTAAAGGCTTAGTCCTCCCACCAGTACACGCAGAACTGTCCAACGGTATTGGCGCATGCTTGGAGCAGATTTCCTCTATCCTTCACGTCATTGGCCCAGGTGGCACACTTGACCAGAATACCACGACTGGCCTATCACTTGTGGAGAGTTGCCATCACATGCACACAACCGAGCTATGCATCGCCGGATTGTCCCTTGCGAAGGGGCCAAAGGGCGATACTCATGGCCGAACTGATATTGACCGGTTCATTAGGCTAACCGGTTGTGAGGTATGCCGGCCTCCACCCGTCCTACCTTTATTCTCGGTCACACGAAACCCACTTATCTCGGCCGGTCGGTCAGAAGCGTGCCGGCCCTAACCGCGTCCATAGTCTAGCCCGGGTTGCTCTTAGCTTGGTCATCAGACACTGCTGCGCGCTCGGCCGCGTTATAGCTCTGCCAGGCATTGGTTCGTGTTTGGCCGGTCGACCTCTCCAACCGTGCAAGTCAGGCCGCTGGGCCGAGCAAGAAAGGAGTCTGCTCGGGGGCGTACGGTTCGTCATGATCGGCGTTATTGTAGCTCGGCCGTACTAACGCGCAAATCTCCCATCTCAATTGCCCCTTAACCCCATCCGACCTAGTCGTGATTGGGGTTACCATCGTGACCAAGCTAACGGATGAGTTACGCCATCACCAAGCCGAGCATGATTGGGGGCATATCTATCGCCGAGCTGTCCCGTTTGGTCGGCCATTTCCTCCGCAGTCTCATCAAAGGTCGTACAGCCATACTGACAGTCGCGTTTCCAGTGCCACGTGGCTTCACGCCATTGGGTCGTGCAGCCAGCTGTTCTACACGCGCAGAATTCAAACGGCACAGCCGTTTGTGGTTCCTTCCCCCCTTTTTTGTATTCCAATGAAGGGCCTACAACCCTTCACTTTTCACCTTCTCTTCCACACAAACCCTAAACCTCTCAAACCTTCGAACCCCCAAGACCACTGCCATTACTGTCTCTGTGCTACATCCTCCATTTCAGATCCTTTCGAAGGCCGCAATTGAGCTCTCGAGGTTGCGTTCACCCTCGCATCTGTCCCCCTGGTAAGTTACACTACCCTCCATTGCATTTTCTGTTTCTATTTCTCAAAATTTTTTATACATGTTCTTCGTTTCCGTGCCACTGTGCTTCGTGTTTTTTTTTTTTGTTTGTGACCACCAGTGCCCCCTTTCTTTGCTTAGAACCTGCACACCCTAGGGAAAATGGGAACTTTGAGAATGGAAGGGGCCTCTGAGCCCCCTATTCCTCCTTGGTTCAAACGAGTTCGCCCCACTTCTGGGATGAACAGTTTAAATCTAGGTAGAACCGAGCTAAACGCTTATTTAGATCCATAGGTAAAGCCATAGCCGAGCAAAAACTGGTTTGTGGCTTCTTACCGAGGTCGCAACCGAGCTGAATACTCTAATTAGATTGGTAAATAGGAACGCACCGAGCTGTAACTTGAGGTCTCCACTTCAAAGCCTAACCGAGCTGAATACTCCATTAGATCTGCAAATAGGAATGAACCGAGCTAGGAAATCGACCAAGTAGTCTAGCCACGATAGGGGTCAGGCCGGTAAAACACCAAAAATCCTTCACTGAGCTATTTCTAATAGGAGCCGTGGAATTTATGCCGCGCTAACCCTTGGCCTCATTTTTTAACAATGCAGAACAAACTAGGACCGATCAGTTCAGTCAAGAACCATCACTAGTGGAGCTCAAAGACCGAGCAATTACACCAAACATTTTTGTCCGATGTACAAGTTAGTTCACCAAATAAAACCGAGATAGATGGGCAAGTACCAATTCATGGTGAGCTCGCCCGGTGCGATGGCCGAGTTTCGTAGGGAGTACAACATCCCAGATGATGTCGTCTTAGAGCTTGCCAGAAAGGGAGACACCCCTTGGGGGGATCTAGACCGGTGCCCCTTCACCGTCGTATCAATAGTAGAGGGAGGGCTCCGCTTCCTGGTTCAACCATTGATCTGCGAATTTTTGAGGCAGACAAGGCTTTGCCCGACCCAAGTCTCAAATAACACTTACAAAATAATAAACGGGGTCGCTGAGCTGAACCGAAGGCTTGGTCTCAATCTCGGTCTGGCCGAAATTTTCCATCAGTATAGTCTAAGTAGAAATAAGAGTGGGCTTTACTGGTACCTCAAAGTCAAGAAGGGCCGAGCAAAGCTAATAGAGGGCAACCCGGACAAGGAGACCAACGACGACGATTTCTTGTGGGTGTCCGGTCGCTATGAGGACACCGAGGCACCCATACCGGGATGGTATATTAGAAAGGATTTTGGCAATGCCAGTGAGTAGCTCGGCTGACCGCGCTATTTCTCTATGCATCAATTACTTTCCATGCCGATCTAACACTTGTCTTCTTTTTGCAGATAAGCACCTAGCAGCAGACTACTACCAGGCCAACCAAGAGGCCATCAGAGCCCTACTGTGCCATCCTGTCGAGGAGAGGGAGGCTTCGAAACTACTCAGCTTCGAACAGACCTACCACTACACCGTGCCGCGTAAGAGCCGGGTTACCGATTTTTTGCGTGCGCCAACCCCAGAACCGGATCCAAACCTACCACCGATCAGGCTTATTCCACTCACCGCCGAGCAAGAAATGGCGAAAATCAGGGCCATCAAGTCCATGATCACCGGGGAAGAAGACGAGTCCCAAAAACCAGAGGCAACCGGGGGACATCCTCCACACCCGTCGGGCAACAAGAAGGGGCAGTACTGGCGCTTGCTAGCGAGCAACCGGCTGGTCAGTCCAAGAAGCGGCCGAGGAACGAGCAAACCGGGCCGCGTCTAGCGGATGAAGACTCTACCGATCGCGTCTCCACCAAGCTCGGGGACCAGACCGAGTAACCACAGACCGGCAAATCCAAGGGCCCAGCCACCCCCCTGGTCTGGGCGCCCGAGTTCAAATACCAGGGTCGAGCAGTTTCTGCTGAAGACTCTATCTACGCGGACAAGGACTACTCGCTTGGTTTTAATTTGACCAAGGGGTTAATCTTGCCCGCTGATATGAAAAAACACGACGAGCTTTCCGACCTCAAGGTCCTCCGCTCGGCGGCGAAATCCATAGTGCTGGTAAGTTCTCCATTCTTTGCGTCAAACTGTTTGCTCGGTTTCTCCAATACTCACTATCTCTCGCTTGTTTTCAGGCCGCGCAAAAGAACTATTTGGCCCACGACTGAATGATCAAAGTGCGGCAGAGCCTGCGGGATGCAATAGTTGAGAACAAGGCCCAAAGGGCCGAGATAGCGAAGCTTAAG